TAAAAAAAATAAATATATATATATATATTTACGCGACGACTCCGTCTGAGTACTTAACATTGTATGTCAATGTGGGATTTTATCGAGAGAGTACCCGACGACTCATGCGAGCACGATGCACTTGCAGGTCCGGAGTGAAGCATGAGCAAGAAGGAGGAATTCCGTCTCTCGTGCAGGGGGGAAAGACCGACGATGGATGAACTGTTCCGCGCTATCAAGGAAGAAAACGGGGAGGAGACGTTCCTGGCTGCCCTTCAACGCCGGGACGACTGGGGAGATCTAGGGGCCTACAGCGAAGAGCATTACGACACGCTGCTGAACCTCGCCGCCGACCGTGGTGCGGCCGTGGCCGTGGAGGAGCTACTTTCTAGGGACGCGGATCCCAACGCGATCCACCCGGACCAACGCTGTACTCCCATCCATACTGCCGTCAGGAAGGGGTATTTCGGGGTCGTCCAGGTCTTTGCCCGGTACTCCTCGACTGATGTGAACGCTCGGGACAATTCCTCGCGGACGCCCCTGCATTTGCTCGCCCTGAAAGCGAATCAACTGGCAAAGGAGAATCGTAGCCTGAGGGAATGTATGGATGCGCTCAAGGTCATCCTACGACGGGACGACGTCCAAGTGGATCTTCGCGATTCCTCCCACCGCACCGCCCTCTACTACGCGGTTAAGAATGGCCTTCCCAGTGAATTCATTATGGATTTGTGTCGGAAAGGAGCAGATCTAGGTGACAGAGGCGGAGCGGATGAGGTCTCCCCGCTTCAGATGCTTCTGGAGCATTCCGTTCCCCAAAGCGATCAGATTCTGAAAGACCTGGACGATGCCGGGCTCCTGTTCGGGGAGACTGCCGTGGCGCAGCCCCTCAAGGTCCCTGCAGAAGCCCTTTGGGAAGCTCTGCTCGCCTGCGACAAGGACCAATTCCATAAAATCTTGTCCCACATGCCCAAAGACGATATAGATAAAAAGCACGGCGGCTACGAGGAGCCCTGCTTGGTCTATGCGTGCAAAAATCGGATGACCGAGTTTGCGACGTTGTTGGTGGCACAGGGTGCAAATTTGGGGGTTTCGGACAAGGAAGCGTGGACTCCGTTGCACTGGGCGTGTTATCACGGAGACGACGTCATCCTCGCTCTTTTACTCAAGGCCGGAGCCGACACGAACTGCGTGACCAGTGCGGACAAGACCCCGCTCCACATGGTCGTATCCATGGAGTCTAAGTCGGGAACCGTCGAGAAGTACGAGGCGTGTCTTTTGCTCCTTCTTAAGCAGCATGGACTTGACCTGAACCGTCAAGACTGCTGGGGGAACACACCGCTGCATTACGCAGTCTTATGCTGCTCCGCTGATGCCATCCTCACGCTGCTGCGAAAGGGGGCCAAGATTTGGATTCGCAATCACCAAGGAGAACTTCCTCTGCAGAGGATTTCCTCAGATACCCTCTGGGAGTACTTGAGTCTGTGCATGCACCCCGACGACGCGAGGAAGATGTGCAAGGAAGACTACGAGGTCCAGCTGGACTTGAGCTTCTTGGTGCATCCGAAGGAGGAAGTGGAGGAATCGAAGAAAATATTCCCCGAGACGACGTGTCTCTGGTGGATCACAAAGAGCCCCAAACACCACGGCGTCCTCAAGCACCCCCTGATCACCACGTTCCTGCATCTCAAGTGGCAGAAGATCTCCGCCATCTTCTCGCTTCACTGCCTTCTGTACATCACTTACCTTGTGATGCTGTTCGTCTTTCTCATTGCCGGGGCGTTTCCAAGCATGCTGGAATCGCGAAGGGCAACGGCAGTCGTAGAAAGCGAAGAGTGCCTTCGCGTCCGTATTACGAGCGGCGGGAGTTCTCAAGAACTGGAAAGTCCTGCCTGTTCGGCGGACGAGAACGTCACGCAGCGGCCGTCCTTCGATGACAAAACGTACTTCCAGTACATGCCCGAAGGATGGCAGGTGATACGTTTCGTCCTGCTCGGCCTCAACTCGGCGATTCTTCTCTTGGAAGTCTTTCAGCTCCTCCTCAGCCCCTTGAGGTACGTGATGACCGTGGTGAACCTACTGGAGATGACCATGATCGGGTCCGTGTATGCCTTCCTCCTCCTGGACGACGTGGACCAGGGTCGCACGTGCGGCGTGGTCGCACTCCTCTTCTCACTCTCGGAGGTGACACGCATATTCGGGCAGCTCCCCGTCTTCTCTCTCTACGTCGAGATGTTCATCACCATCTCCGTCAACTTCATCAAGTTCTTTCTCTGGTACGCTGTCTTGGTCATCATGTACTCATTCAGCTTCATGCTCCTCTTCTACCCCACGGACGAGTTCTCCTCCATCGCGTCGTCGCTGCTCAAGACCATCGCGATGCTCATAGGGGAGTTCGGCTACGAGAACATTCCCTTCGGGAAGTACGTCGGACTGAGTCACGTCACGTTCTTGACGTTCGTGTTCTTCATGACGATCGTCCTCTTAAACCTCCTGACTGGTCTGGCCGTCGGGGAGACGCAGAACATCAAGGAACACGCCGAGGTCCTGGGCTACGTGTCTCAAGTGAAACTCATCTTCTACATGGAGTCCATGTTTCTTCGAGACCCTGAAAACGTCTTCCGCAATTTTAACGCCTGGGATCGGGTGAAGAAATGGTTCCGGGGATCTACGTTGACCCGAAGGTTCCTGGCAGAGTGTCGCTGCAAGGAATCCGCGCCGCCATCTCTGTGTCGCTCTCTCATCGACTGCTGCCCGTGTCTCAGCCCTCTCCTCGATTGGTTGGGCATGAAGACCATGCTGCTGCAGGCGGACGGGAGGCAGAAGACGGACATGGCACTCTATCCCTTCAGGGACATCTGCTCCCGGATGGAACTCCCGTTCCGGTCCCTCAGTCTGGGCGACCGGGAGGTGGAGAACCTCATCCTCTTCATCAAGGGACTCGAAAAGGAGTCGGTGAGTTTGGATGGCATCTCCAAGAGGCTGGAGGAAATATCCACACAACTGAGGGACATCGAGAGGAAGCTCAAGATGACAGAGCTCAGAAGCTCGTGAAGCAATGCGGGAGACTCCATGCATCAAGTGATACGTTGGACTCAGGAATCGTGGATGTAACGTTGCGAGTCATTCCAATTCCTATCAGCCAATCGAATTCAATCGGTATAGCTGTTTATAACGTGGACTAGGGATCTGAAGCAGTCACGAAAACGTACCACATGTTTAACTTACGAAATGACAAGAACGTGCATTCAGTTTCGCAAGCTAGTCCTACAGAGGACAGATGGGGCGACACCCGAAGCGACCGTGGTAACATTCATTGTGACCCAAGGAGGGACAAAATACCCAATGTTTGAGTGGGCGTGAGAGCAACATATTCCAAGAGGTAAACATGCGACGAGAGGATCGATAGTCCCTCGACGGGAACTGTCGAAAGTGGATATTAGTAAGAGCAAACATACTGCCTTCCTTAGGAATGCCTTATTTGGGATACCAAGTACTCCTCCGACATGAAGCATCAGGTAACCGTGTGGCGTCTGGATTTCACGGATTTACTCACTCTGAGTCGACACATGTTTCACTCTGCATCATCAAGCAGAAATTTTTTTTTTATGTTGAAAAGTGCATTCTCTATACTGTATGACCAAAGCTGCCGAAATTTCTTTTCAAGAATGGAACCATTTGTATTGTCGTTTGCCCTCCTTTTATTTCAATATTCTCGTGGCATCCATATATGGAAGCCAACCGGTTACAAAAGGTTCTCTCTCGGATTCGGACTCCTTGGACGCTTCTAGCCCGCAAATTAAATGGATAAAAGACAGAAATATCGATGCGATTCTGAACGATAAAGTACGAAGAATCGATTGCTTCAATTTCTTGAGAATCAGCAACATTAGCCAGAAATCGGCGACAATCTTAACCTTAGCTTCAATATCGATTATTAATAAGATACGGCGCTTTCCTCAGAAAAATACTTGCTCTATATGTCTAACATCACATTTTGCTGGTTTTTATGCTTCACATTGCTCTTCTTTTCTATATTTAGAGATGGAAAGGTGAAATTTGGCGTCATAATACTCTGTCTCTTTTTCTGAAAATGAGAAATTATCGATGTGTATGTAAAGGAACATGACTAAAAACTTTGAAGAATAATATTAAATCTGAAAAACAAGCTGCTTCTCATGAATCTGCTTCTATTACATGTTTTTGCAGTTGCTTGAGTGTATGTACTATTTAAATTCTTTAATTGATATTCCTACATATGAATTGTAACATTTTGCTGAAAGTTGACTATTTTATATGAGAAACTAGTCATTGTGAACAGATTGACGTTGGTATGTATCGTACTTAGTAGTTACTTGGTTTTTTCCTCCCAGAATTTTACAGAATTTTTCTTTCATGAGTAGCTGACCCCCTGAAACTACAAAGACGGCATCGTATAAATTGGAGAGGAAGATCCTGTTCCCAAGGAATCTCATGTAGCCACCAAATGAGTTGTTCAGCTTTAGTCAGCATAGGTATGCTGAGTGCGTCAGAAAATCCAGAAACAGAAATAACAAATGAGCTTACAAGATAATGGCAAGCTTCTGACTTCACGGACTTTTTTTCTTTCCGAAAACAGAACCATCTTTTACTTGACTCATGAGACTTGTTTTAATTATCATTTCCGGATCTGATGCATCCTCATGCTTGGGAGACCCTTCCTTATACAGATATCATAAGAATTAATTTCCACCTGTGACTTGGAGCAATTAAATTTAATAAGGAAATGTGGAAAGAAATGGGCTTGGATAAATAATAACACATGTGAAGTATGGCTCCTGAGTGCGTTGAAAACTTGGAGACTGTTGTAGCTATGCTTGCAGGTCTGCCGAAAAGGAAATTTCGGTTCAAGACAATAATCTCTATTATATTTTGGTCACTAAGAGGCATTTACTACAAGAGACAAGGAAAGTCGACAGCGCACAAGTATCACAGATTCTGCACACCCGAAGGACTACGGCGACCAAACCCGACCCGCATCAGGACTACTCGGTCAACCGAGGACAGGAGTGTCTCTGAGAGAGGACCTGGATGTCGGCCAGCGGCCAGACCCTGAGGATTGCGCGGCTACGAATGAGGCCGTACGGCACCGCCCCGTACGCCCGGGAATCGGTGGAGTTCTCCGCATTGTCCCCCAACAGCCACACGTGTCCTGGGGGGACCTGGGTCATACAAACACAGTTATACGTGTCGCATCAAAGATCATCCAATCGCTTTGCTTGAGCTAATTTAATCATAAGGTAAATATATTTTCTTCACGAAAAGGGCTTGTTAAATTCCTCGTTCTAAAGGTAACTAATTATCGATTAGAATGAAATTAGAAGTAATTTAAAAACAAAGTCAGACTTGTATTAAAAACAGCCAAGTCATCATTGAAGGAAATGGGATTTTTCAGTAAAGTTTATGATTTACTAATGAGAAATCCTTGTAGAGTGGAAAATAGCATAAACGGCCATGGCTGTTCCAAACATCTCTCAGAAGTTTATTCCTTTTTTTTCAGCATCAGCTCAGAGATGGAAATAAAAACATCTAACACTCAGGGATGCATTAAAAAATATCTACGATTCCAGAAAATAGATTTAATGATTACATTCCAGAATAATTTGAACGCATCGAGATATCACAGAACACAAATATGATAAAGGAAGTTAGATGAAACCACCAAATCATGCTAAAATGAAAGTGACAATGACAATTTGATCTCGCACAAGAGGTGATCTGCTGATTCCATGCAGACGTTAGATCCTTGCAAAGAAATGTGACCTGAAATAGTTATTGACCTGAGATACTTATTATTAAGACCATACGGCCGAGATCTCACAAGTGAGAAAATAAAATTTCGACAAAGAGAACCGTGTTTGTAGTCAGCCCCCCCCCCCCATGGGACTTTTTCCAGGTAGGAGACTCACGGTTTCCATCCAGAGCCCACGTCGGATGCGCTGGCCGGGGAGGCCGGCGATCCTCTTGCAGATGAACTCCTGTGGCTTGGACGAGGAGCGCGCGATGACGATGTCCCCGACTCGAAGCTTCTGTGCTCGGGTCGTTAGTTTCTCCGTGAAGACGATGTCGCGCGATCGGATCGTCGGCTCCATCGATGGCCCGTAACACTGCAAAGATTAGGAAAGAAAAAGTTTAAGCAAGCCGTGGGTCTTCTCATTTAACGTTCAAGTTTTAGGGATGGGTGTCAAGTTGGCTCGTTTCCAAGTTTTTTCTTCATAATAGAGCCGCAATGCCCATGTGTTGACTATGTTATGAGATAAATTTTTAAAATTCAAAACTACTTTGGACATTAAATAGGAAGAAATGGAAAAACAATTGGCTCTCAGGTTCCCGTATACCGGTATGTCATCTCGAGAGCGAACATAGACTCACCAGCACAAAGTCCCCAAGGATAAGTTTACACGTTACTCGGTGTGTACGTATAACGTACTGCATCGGCCGTTGGCGCTACGTAAAGGGGTCGAAGAAGCCGTCGGTGCGGTAGTTTATAAGTAAAGGTACCGGTTCTAACAAGACCAGCCTCAACCAGCAGAAAATGGACTAGCCACCTCAAGAAAATAGGAATGTCAATTAAAGAGACAGGTTCAAGCTAAGAGCTATGCTTGGCGTCTGGTGAGCCAGCAAGTGCTAATCTTAGTATCGTTCTTCACTTGGTATTTCGCTGAATTTGGGATATGACAACGGTGTTGTATCACCACTTCTCGAAAAAATTAAAAAACCTATGAAATTCTCAAGTGTCCAGGTTCTTAGCACCCAATTTTTTTCAATCCACACTGCGCTTATGTGGCGTGATAATTTAAGAACTGGGGCTAAGTAGGTAGCGTTGAAACCATCGATGATTCGAGGAAATATATAATTGAGGAAACTTAGAGCAATCTGAAGAGAGAACCGAAACTGCCGAAAGGCGAACTGGTCATGTGTATGCGCCTATGACTCATTGGGTTCGTTGTCCCGACAGGCAGAAGATGGAAGTCAGAGGATGGTAGAAATTAATTTACTCTACCATCTTGTCCTATGCTGCTATTTCTTTCATAGTCTAGTCTCCTCTTTCTTTATTCCTGTCTCATCCATGTTTTTCCAGTTTTGCAGGGTCCCATACCACTTGAGCATTCCAATACTAATCTTTTCCTTTTCCATCTTCCGACACCGCTGAAGATCGATATTCAAATGTGCAATGAGCCACACATGCATATTGCATGACGTAGCCGGCAACCGCGATGCATTTCCCCAGCTTCTTCGGCAGCCACGCCATCAAATATTCATTTCCATGGCCAAGATTGTTCTGGTTCCTCAACCAGCAGAAAATGGACTAGCCACCTCAAGAAAATAGGAATGTCAATTAAAGAGACAGGTTCAAGCTAAGAGTTATGCTTGGCGTCTGGTGAGCCAGCAAGTGCTAATCTTAGTATCGTTCTTCACTTGGAATTTCGCTGAATTTGGGATATGACAACGGTGTTGTATCACCACTTCTCGAAAAAATTAAAAGACCTATGAAATTCTCAAGTGTCCAGGTTCTTAGTACCCAACTTTTTTCAATCCACACTGCGCTTATGTGGCGTGATAATTTAAGAACTGGGGCTAAGTAGGTAGCGTTGAAACCATCGATGATTCGAGAAAATATATAATTGAGGAAACTTAGAGCAATCTGAAGAGAGAACCGAAACTGCGGAAAGGCGAACTGGTCATGTGTATGCGCCTATGACTCATTGGGTTCGTTGTCCCGACAGGCAGAAGACGGAAGTCAGAGGATGGTAGAAATTAATTTACTCTACCATCTTGTCCTATGCTGCTATTTCTTTCGATCAGATCAGAGGAGAAAGAAATAAGGACAGAGTAGGTACAAAAAGGTCAAAACGTCCCAGGGTATGGTGAACTCGTAAGGTTATGATTAGAAAAGGAAAAGGTAGAAGGCTGTGGCGACTTCTAGCACGATAACTTCAAAACATAACGACGGCCCTGATAAATATTTCTTGTAAGCCATGCATGTGCCAGTGCATTTTGGACCTCTTTACAAATCGACTGCTTGTACGGAATGAGTAATACAATCGCACTATTATTGTTTAAACTAGTGACTTTTTTTCATCGCTTTGTCTCAAAATTGTCATTTGGTAACTGGCAATGGCTACTTGCACCTTCAGTTGAAGATATGCCGGTGTCACATGAACAAAAATTGGTTTTCAAACTTCACCTACAGGAATAACAGACTTCCATGATTTAGCCATGACTAGAATGGCACAATGAGAAATGTCAGAAACATCAAGCCCTGGGATTGGACTGATGCAGCTGCCTTCTGGTAGCTGTTACCCATTCTCAGATTGACATGGGCAATGCACAGCAAACTGGCTCCAAGACAATATGAAGACAAATCATTCCATTCTATTACCTTTTTTTAATCCTTAAGGGAACACCAGGATGGTTATTCTTACCTTTTGGGAGACACTCTCCAGAAGGTAAGAGAATTACATGTAAGTAACGTAATGACTGGATTAGGGAAAGAGCAAAGAGAACAAAGTTCCAACAGACCACAAGGCCAATTTATTATTTTTTTGGGGGACAAGTGAAATTAGACACTATCCTTGACAGGTGGCTCATAGTTGTCAGGCCGATCCACTTTGGCCCCAGCTTCCCCAGGTTCTGCTGTTGCAGTTCCTGTACCTGGCCCTTCACCATGCATCTCCAGCAGCTTTCCTAGCTCAAATCGGGGCTTTCGCAGCACCTTCACCTACATGAGCATTCAAATATATTAATAATCTCATTATGATCTCATTACAATACAACCACAGCAGAGAAAGGGAATGCAGGACTGAATAAAGTATGCACAAAAAGAAACACTCAAGTACAACTGCATTCAATGACAAGGCTTACAGAAAGATTTACTTAGTTCAAGAAACCTAAAAAATATATCATATGCAAATATGAGAGGGAATTAAAATGCTCATTGTGGTATAAGCTTAATAAAAATAGAAAACCTAAAAACAGGAGCTTCAAACAAGTTAAATGACATGAGCCCTCATAAATTATTGACTAAGAAAAAAATTGCAAACAGGTACATCCTTTTCATCACTTTATGGTCCATACCTTGCGGATGTGGGCATCATGAAGGGGATAGATGCCTTGGCATGCCTTCTTGATGTCCTCTGCGATGGAGTCAGGGATGAGCTTATTCACCACTTCCTTCAAGTCACTGCTCTGCACTTCTTTCGTCATTATCTCCACCATCTTCTTTCTAATCATTTTCACCTGCAGTCATGACAAAAACCATTCTGAATACTATTCATTTGATGCAACCAAGAAATAGTGAACAGCCATCTAAAGCCTTTGAAGATGTGCTCAGAATATGTCTCTGTCCCTACTTTTTCTGCAGCTCACCCATCATCTCCACAGTACACTCCAGATACAAGTGGACAAACATAAAGTTGGCAGAGGGCCAGAAATTTACCAGCCTCACAGAAGACCTTCATTTAGCACTTCAATTCAAAACCTTAGTCATCTACATGCATCGATGAACTGCTATGAGTTTAAAAGTAAAACAAAAGGTTTTGCCATTTTCATAAAAGAAATGGATAACTAAATACATAGGTAGTACTAAATAAAGGTGAACGTAACTCATCTTCATAAAAGATATTAAGATATCACAGTTAAGAGCAATAAATAACTAATTTTTCAAAAAGCATCTCAGATTTCAACTTCAATTTCAAGATGTGCTACATTAACAATAGAATACCGGCTTCTAAGACTCAATTTCTTGAGACAAAATACAATTCACATAAGGTGCTCATTAAGCTGCTGCTATAAGTGTAGGCATTTTAGCAAATGAGATGAAAAAAAGGGATGAAGTACAATAGGATGGACACATGTTTGCATACCACTTTTCAGCAAAAGTTCTTAGGACTTCTGCTGCAAGTCCTTTCCCTATCTCTAGTAATGTCCTGCTCATTTATATTTTTGGCATGATATAAAAAAAACTGACCTAGGGCTTAACAAGTCAACAGAAAGAGCTTGAAAAGCATTATAGACTAAGATGCCAAACCTGATTATGTTGGGCATATGCAGTCTTCCGATGAGATGAACCAAGTTTCTTTGTGAAGGCAATGCAGAACAGGCGGAGGAGATATCCATCAGATGTTTTCACATCCACATTTGCCTCAATGAGTGTCTAAAAAATAAAAAAACAGGCACCATGAGAAATGAATTCTCCATTAAGATATATGGGACACTCCTCTATGTTCCTCCATGATTCAGCAAAATTATTTGTGGTTTGACTTCCAATGGGGAAACCTACTCCTACAAACTTTATACAAGATTGTATGGGAATGTGGTCCCCATGCTGCTAAGTTTCAGGTTTTTATACTAAGTACTAGCCAGACAATGATGCTAACTAGAGGCTGCAACAGCATCAGCAATCAATAACTCAAAACTACTTAGTTTAATGGGAAATTTTGAGTTTTTACCTTCTCTATTTCATGACAATAATCACCAGTTTTCAAAATTTTATGCAAGTAACTTTGGTCACATACACCCCTCTCCATGTGTGACAGGAAATGAGCAAGTACTATGCACAAGGCCTACTTAAGGCAAAATCTTGACAAGTAAAACTTGAATAAGGCAATTTCAGGTACTCAATTGGTCATACACTGAACGGCACAGGTGAACAGGACACATTACAAAAAATTATAATACTATGACAGACATTTAGCTCACCTGCCACTTCTTGACCATAGAGCGAAGCTTGTCAGTTGTGAGGTCCATGCCATGGAAGTTGGTAAGGACATGTCTCCCTTGGACATCCTCAGCAATCAACTTGAACTTGGTATAAGACCTTTCTGCATCTTGGTCACTTTGCAAGTCAGCCAATGACACTTCAAAAACTCGCCCCTTAAGACCCTCCGATGCAATTCCTGGAAGATTAAGTTACCAAAAAAAATAGTGATAATGTCAAAATAATTCATAACCAGAAAAGACAAGAAGGACTACATGTCTTTGGCATGCAACATATTAGAGGGTAAGCTGGGATAAGTTGGGGCACGTGGAAATTCTTTGGAAGAAAATCTGAAGAGATAAAGTTTACTCTCCTCTCCAAATTTTTCATGTGGTTTCATGACTGGATCAACTCTTATAAAACAAAGGAGGATTTGAGAGGAAAAAAGAGTGCACACAAACGATGGTGTTGGCACAGGGCAGCTTGCAAGGGTGATCCTATAATGATTACATATGACAAGCTTACTTGTAAGATATGTCCTCAGGAAAGAACTGAGGGCAAGCAAGGGTGTCAGAATATTAACTCTGGTGCAACTTCCTGAGTCAATCTTCAAATTGTTACCCCAAAAAATTGGGTTGGCTGGGTGACTCTCACCCAGCTGACTCTCAGCACTCTGGATAAGTGTCCACAGACAATAAGGAGAGTTGATTAACAATGTGACCAGTCCCTATATGTAGCACACAAGTCAATGGAATTCCATAATTACTGATTACTGTAAGGCCAGATGCTGGATGGACATATTAGTCCTAGGCATAGGGTCTGACTCCACACAGGTTACTCTTCAAACTTTCTTATAGCCAAAGGTTATGCTAAGGCTAAGACTTACACTCAGGTTCAGGCTTACTGGGCTACTCTCCCCAACACCAATGTGTAGACAGTCAAGAAAATATCTATATGCATAAACAGTTCATCAACTGCACCTGGCCAACTTTCAGTAGAACAAGCCTAGTTTCAAAATAAACGACAGAGTTGGCAGATGGCAATATTACCACCACCCTTCATGTAAGCTCAAACAGTTGAAGAGAACAAGAGATTATGAGAGTTAAGATGCTCATTTGCAGGTCAATACATCTTCTTACTTCCCAATTCAATCATAACACTCATGAAAGAGGTGTTCATGGGCTCCCACAAAACATTACAGGCATTTGCTTACAGTCAGTATTTCCTGAGATAAATGTAACTGTTAATTGCTTGGGTGGAAATGTTCACACTGCTACAAGCATGCCATTTAAATGATAGGAGCAGAGTGCACAGATTGTCATTCCCTCCATTTTAATCCCATCCTTTTGTGCCTCTATTCTTTCCACCCATAAGACTTTGGAATTTATTCAATTCTCTATCACTTTGGAGCTAGAGACTCAGACTAATGCTTCACCAGCTCCTTTAGGTTTTCACTTTAGGTTTTCACTAAACCCAAACTAATTAATCTCAGAGAAAAAGTGATAAACACAGACCAAATAAGCCTCATTGCTTGTATGTTGGGCCGAAAGATTGAGCAAGTCAATCTATTTTGGAGAACAACAAGTCAGTTGAGTTAGATAATAATTGCAGCTGAAAGCTGCGAGACTTTCTTAACAACTGACCCATAGTTCTCCAAAATAGGTTGACTTGCTCACTCTTCAGCCTTTGATACCAAACTCACAACTGGATCTCCGGCCCAGTTACCATTTCTGTTTGCCTTCATTGAATACAGTGTGCAGGTCTGGCAGCAACATGGGGTTCTGTGCCTATTTAGCTTGATCAAAACCTGCAGCATGTTACTGATGTCAGTACTCCTCCTACATCCATCATTACATAGAACCGGTTGTGATTCACCTTCACACACGACCATAGCATTTCCATGAAGCAAAAATTTATTTGAATACATCAAATTTTATTGGCCTGGGAAATGGCACCTTAGCTGTCCTTTACACATTCAATTTCTGGCTAAGAGTAGCATGTTAGTTTGAGGCAATCCCATATCAAGTTCCAGACCTCCTTGCGGGTTAGGATGACCCCAAATGAGCCCCTCTTTAATATACCAACCCTTAGGAGGCCAATTAGAGAGCTATGGTACGTCTGCACTCACTAGTTCCCTGAGTCCTGTTGACGAGTGTCTTCCCAACCTGCCTAGTCTTGAAAATCGATGGAGCCTTCACATCATACCAATCTTTCCTCGTAAATGGATCAACCCTGTTGAAGGAAGCACAGACATGCAGTTTCATATCATAATCAAAAGGTCTAACGTTAACGTTACGAAACATCCACGTGGATGAAAAGCGAGAAGACCCGAAAAGGTCATCCTTCAACGTATTCGAGCAGGCCTAGCAAAATACTGTGTTGCAATTTACTGCTCTACGATAACAGAGTAAGGCCGATAAAAGAAATGAGAACTTACACTTTTTTCTTGGCTCCTTTCTTGCCGCCTTTCGACAAGCCCTTATTCTTGCCGACCGCCATGTTGCCAAAGAGACCTCACCATTCGAGCTCCTTCGATACCACAGTGACTGGAAAGGGCCGGTCGAATACCACCACCTAGGGCACCTCATTGTACGAAGCAAACGCGGTGTCACTATATACTACCATCCATAAAAATGTGAGCGTCTCCCGAGACTATCAAGATGAATCTTGGATTTATGAAGGCCGAATATAAAAAATTGAAATGATAGGAATATCTGTATCTGTATTATAGCGACATCTGTATTCACAATCTTATACCGTAGTCTTCTTGAATTTTCAAGGATGTCAGGACGACCATAGGCCTATATAGAGGAGTAGGCACTTCCACCACCCATACGTGAGTACATCATGGTTATGATAAAAACGAAATTCACGCTTTATTAGTAGTAAATACCGTATCAAGAATGAGAATTAGTGTTCATACTGTTGAGGGGATGTCGAAAACATTTCGCGTTAAGCATTCTAAAAGCAGGAGCACACTTGGGTCTCTCAAACTTGGCATGCAATTGGCACCTTAGCTGTTCGCATTATACCAAAATCGTGTTGCCGTCATAGTCCAATATCCGAATTTTTTATACCATCTTTTCTGGCGATGATGAACGAAGAAGTAAATGGCTTAACCCTTTGAGCGGTATGGACGTACCGATACGTCCATATTCCTGAAGGGGTTAAGAAAACTCACTGTTCAAAGGGTTAAAGGGTGAAAGGGTGACTTTGGTACCCTGCATGCACAAATTCACTGCATTCCACTCACCATGACGGTGCGCACAGAATGCAGAAGCACTCGAATGGAACTTGTGACGGGGTCATTTTTGTCTTCAAGGTCATCAAATCATTCCCGAAAACGGAGCCTTCTGTAGTCTCCGGACTTCCAGTACCGAATTACCCCCTTCATTCTTTCTCCCCAGACTCCAGCATCTGGCATTTATTTCGTTTGTTTTTTGAGGCTTTACAGCCATCTCGACTTATTCGCCCTTTCTCCCTCAATCGGTCACACCAACACGTGGAACGCCTTAGGTAATGAGGGCTGCCCTTTCAGTGACTGGCACTGAAAAAAATTAGATACCTTCATGGACAAAACAGGAGAGGGAGCAATGTTGCAGTAAGTAATTAGGTTGCAGTTGATGGATTACTCACAAAAAAAAAATATATATATATACAGGGAGTTCGAAAAGTCACTGTGCAGTAGAATTCACGACATGACGTAGGTCTCATTGTAGCTAGGAATTACAGACAATGAATTATGTGAATCGGGGATGGTGCTAATATTTGATGAAGTATTGAGTGGAAATTCATGTCTTTGATGATGCAATACGTGTGATACGCAGTACAATACTAAATACATGCAACAAAATAAATTAATTCTACTGCACAGTGATTTTTCGAACACCCTATATTATATCTCTTTGAGAGTGGTAGGTCTACTTTTATAATAATAAAATAATTGCTTGATTTCGACAAGGAACCTCATAACGAACAAGAATTCTTATGACGTCCCTACCCGAACTTTTGAACATTGAACTTTGGCCTACAAACAAAAGTTTCTACTACAGGTCCTCTAAATCTCAGAACTCCATCTAAGAAGAATTTTGGGGGGACGTTTCCATTTGGCTCTCCCTCAAATTGACCACAAACTCCTTCCACGTAACCCAGTCACTTCTCCTTTATAAAGTGAATTTCAGTTGAAGATGTGCAATGTGTGCGTTACAAGGGAGTTACATAGCCGCCAATCCTTCTCTCATCTCACAGTTGCCAGGTACACAAGGGTCAGTTTGAATGGATGATTCGTTGCCGGTAAAACCGCATCGTGCCTGTCCTCAACTTTGGCGCTGGTTATCAGAGGTGGGGAAATTCCCGATCACGTCACTGCCTTTAGATCACCAATCATTCAAAATATAGTGTCATGCAAATTGTTAAAAGCACAAATGCCCTATTAGATGGAAAACATGAGATGAGTGAGATAATTCAAATCAACCATTTGAATTACAACAACGTTCCAGTTCCTTCCTTTGCAACAAAACACTCGAGCTTCATCCCGAGAAATATCGTCAAGGTTTATGTACATTTTTTATTAGCAGAACTTGTTGGGGAGAATTTAAAAAAATATTTATTTACCGAAGATATACCTATAACAGAAGCGGAACGAGAACCAGATGCTAATATTGTTGCTCTGAAAGGAAATCAGACAAAAACAAAATGCATAAGTATGGTCACTGGAGTCATTCAATGAGAGACATCATTTCTGATCCAGATAAGCCTCTCTCATGCAGGAAATATAAGCAAAAGTTAGGGAGCAGCTTTTCCACCTACGCAACCATAATGCATGTGCAACACAGATGGGCACACGTGATGCGGATCAGTACGCGACTTACGGCCTCAGGTGTGTCCACGCAGGTGAAAATGGATCCCAGACGTGTAGAGATCGAGGTTCGTCAGAAGTCTTGTCCCTATGGTGACAGACTCAGCGAGACCTCGCCGTTAGTGGAATCTTGTTTCTCCCTTCCTGCCAATTATTCCAGGTGAGATCATTGGTTCATAGACAGTTTCAGAGATGAGTATATCGTGCGTATGTATGTTTAGTTCCGTAAACACTAATTTGCCTCAAATTAATCATATAAAAATGTTAATCTTCGGAGGTTACATCTTTCTGTTGGAGCATTCACGGATGAAAATCTTCTGAGGCATCACCACCGAGTGCAAGAACATGAACTAGTTGCATTTTTGAACCATTTTAAAATTTTCTGACCCACTTGTAGAACATGAAAGCTTGACAGGGCGTCAACTCACTATCTCCTTTCAATGCTCTACGATCATGTTGATAAGAAAGCCTTGGGCATCTGTGTCATCTGACATTCCCTGCTTCACAAGCCTAAACTGAACATGCAGCAATACATCTCCAGATCCTATATTATATTTCAGGGGACAGGGTCCATTCATTTCAAAAACAGGAAACTGACAAGCTGAGATGCTTTATCGTAGGGGCGATGTTGATCATGAGGCTAAAGGCTCTCCCTCGTTAAGCTGGGTTGCTCGCAGCCCTTCGACTCTGTTAAGCAGAGGCCGAAAGTCACTGGGATTCGTTTTGGCAGGTCTCTTCTACTTCCGAACTTCTTATAGTATCCTGTCGGAGTAATGATGGTACAAGGAGAGAAAAAAAAAGAACATTTTACAACGATAAACACAACATTTCACTCACTGCATACACATAGGCGCCGAACCCGTGGGGGCAAAGGGGCTCGTGCCTCCCCAACAATGTTACTGTGGGGGCAATACCCTCAGAGAATGGCTAAAGTACAGCAAAAGTACGGCACATGGAACATGGGAAACAAAATGTTGTTTTACGTAATATATGAAAAATATGATTTTCCTATCTGTTTAGAGCTCCAACTGAGAGATCTCCGTCACCACGTAAGTGTATGGGTATGGGTGGAAATGCGTCCTGGAACGTTTCCGTCAATGTTATTTCAGGGGGGTTAGGACCTTGCCCCCCCCCAATATTTTTTTTTAAGTCGGCGCCTATGTGCATATACACTGTATTTTAATGCGGTTCGCAGCATTTGAAAGTGGAATTAATAAGCTTTAAAGTGGTGTAATTGCATTTCTAATATCTTCTAAAGTTTTAGAAATACTGGTGCTCATGAACAAGAGACAAAAACTGCGTTGCAGCGCACTCAAACGCAGACGACATGTGACCTTCGGCCGACACCTGTCCATATCCAGTGCTACATAAAACGCAATGTTGTTTGCAGTAAAAGGATCTCTATTAGTAAGCATGGATTGTGAGGCATTAAATAACTCGCTCAAGAATGGATGACGCTTCATCTAAGCCAGGGGTGTCAAACATACGGCCCGCGGGCCGTGTTATGGGTGCGGCCCGCAGGCATCTGCAGGGTAAGGAATGCGGCCCACCGACCGATTTGAGTTTGACACCCCTGATCTAAGCCACTTATACAGGGTGATCAAGAAGTCACTGTCAGTAGAGTTCATGATTTTATGATATGATGTAGGAAGCCCCATTGTAGACGGGATCTAAAAACGATCATTTATGTGCATCATGGATTGTCCAAATATTTTATTATGTATAGCTTGTGAATTTCTGTCTTTGAGGATGTAATCCGCGTGATAGGCAGAATAGTGCTACACTCTTAGAAAATTTCGAGCGTTTGGGGAGTAAAAAGTGAGCACACCGAGAGCTTTTCGAAATTACTCTTATTACTCACCAAATGCTCCCTCATCGCTCGTATTGAAGTGAACACTTTGAAGTTCATCGCCAGGCCACTAGATGGATGTCAGGGTCTCGCTTTTTGCGCAGTACACAAAAGCTCCCTTCCCTCTTTCCCTGGAATCGTCCCTCACAGGATTGTTTAGTACCTTGCCATATGTCTCGCCTAGTCTCATTATAGGAATCAATAAACACGGACACATCATTTGTTATCCGCATATTCGAGACATATTCATAGAGTCCAGGCCATAGACAAGCTCATATTCCTATTGAAAACCCTTTTGGCACGTCTTGCAATCTTTCCCGCATAGGAGATCTAGATTCTACAAAGAGCTTCCGTGAACTTCAATTAATCATGCCTCAATTTAATGAGGCAATTAGGGACAGATATCCCGGATACTCCACGGAATCTTAAAGAGGTGGTCCACCCTCTGACGTGTGCTGTAATCAGTCCAGTCAGAGGTGGTTCAACGTCTGTATGATAGCGAAAACGCCACACAGTATATATGAGAATTTTCGTATTTGCATGACATCCCTATCACTTTCTGATGGGAGCGTTTTTACTCAAAGAGGAGAGCAATTTTACTCCTTGGTGATGGAGTAAATTCGCTCCTTTCCCAGAGTGAAAAGGGGGTGAAACTGGAGTTAGCTATTTTACTCTCTTTTTTGAGAAAAATCGCTCCCCTTTTTCTACGAGTATAAATAAATGCCATAAAATGAATTAATTCCACTGCACAGTGATTTTTTTAAATCCCTCGGTAACTGTACTGCTGTACCAGTCCACTATTCGCGGCAATTACGACCGCTTGGTGTTTCTCGCGTATTGTCGAGAACATCTCCCGTGGGAATGAAGGTACGTAGGGAAAAGTCAATTAGATAGCGCTCTGAAAGTCAGGCGTAGGTGTGTTTACTACAGATTGCAAAACTGGAGAAGATGCTTCATACAATCATCGTCAAAATGAAGGGAAAACAATTAGAAGCTTAGCCATCTTGATGAAATTTGAACAACCTCGTAGCAGTATCATAAATCTATTGAAGTTTCAGGGGTATAGGATGAACATTGACAGAAAAAACTTGCCATTTCATTTTATAGGGGGCTCACGGATCGAACTAATAGCCCAAAGCAATCACTCAGGAGATGAATAATGATAAGCGAAACGGGAAGTCTTGAAAATGTTCAGAAAAATCTAGCAAAGTTCCAACGTCACTAGATAAGGCGATGCAGAGAAACGCGCGAACACCGGAGGAATGAAGGAAGGGGTTGGCGCCATTGAAAACGCCAGTTTCCTTTTCCTTTTTCTTCAAAACTGTTTGCCTTTGAGAAAGTTTTGTAGTTGTGTCAAACAGCAAAGCCATGCCCGGGCAGAGGCTCTGAAGGGAAATTCACCATCTCGTTCAAACATTTCAAGAACGTGTGTTAATTGGAATGCGTAGCATGCATCAGGCTGGTGCATCAATCCGATGCATCCAGACCAATTAGCGTACGGATTGAAGGTAGATTGGCAATGCTGTAGTAATAGCAGCGATCTAGAGCAGCGGTTTCCAGAATTTTTGAATCGCGACCCACTTGCTGATGTTAAAAAAAAATTCACGACCCACCGGAATCAAGAATCTACCTTTTCTGCACGGCATGTTTTATCCTGAGCGAATGCGACGGATATAGGGATTTTTTACACTCGAAAATGTTCGCGACCCACCTCGATGCCTCTCGCGACCCATAGTTTGGGAATTGCTGATCTAGAGCAAGGGAGGCTCCCTCATTTCACTTTCTGCTCCATCCTCCATGCAGCATCGAGAGACGCGAGTTCACAGGCTCTTCAAGCTACGACGGCAGCGAGGAGAATCCACTCGACTCTTTACTGGATTCCACGATGGAAGATTTCAAAAAGAAGAGGCCGGATTTACTTCCTCATCTAGATCCTGTCAATGGGAAGAAGAAGATAACGACTGGTCTCTTTCCGCACTCCCTTGCATACTACCTCAAGATTTTGCTCATCATCTGCGGCTGTGCCGTGTCTACAGTTCGTTGTCATTGTCTTTCCGACTCTGTACCATATATAGATCGCGCTTTGAATTAAATATTACACTCACGATTAAGCTCGCTTACCATAATTTTCAGTTGAATTCACTCTCCCCTACTGTGGTGGGAACGAGAAGTTCTTACTGTCGGTTCCACAAAGGTAGATATTACAACAATCACGGTTTTCTCTGTCGGGCTCGTTTCTGAAGACTTCACAAGTTGGTCTCGCCTGCGTCTCTTTTATGGTGAGAGACAAATGTCTCTCATTTTACATTACTCTAAAAACCATTCAGAAGGGCCGAGTTTAAAATCGCAAATAGAATTTTCCGTCTGATCACAGCTGTAATTTCGAACCATTTCCAGCTGGCAATGAGCTGGAAAATGGTGCTGGTTGTTTTACAGGTTGAGTTTTCCAATCGGAATGTGGCTGGTTTTAATAGCTGTTTCCAGCTGGATATTTCCAGTTATAAATTTTCGTACAGAGGTCTCTACAGCTGGAATACAACCGAAATTCAGCTACTTCTGTAGATTGACTTCCGGTAAGAATAGCCAACAAAAAATCTTAATTCCGTCGGTGATATTGCAAATAGAAACCAATCTGGAGCTGACTTTGACTTGCAGGTGCTTCTCAGTTGGAATGAGTCGAATTTCCAGCTGGGCTCCAGCTGGAAATTATAACTGTTTCCAATCGGGATTTTAAGCTGGGTGTGGGGGGAGGGGGAAGAATTCAATCAGAAACTGTCATAAGTATATATTTTCGTAAGAAATTCACTTTCCGATAATTCAAAAAGATTCTCGCTCAACAATAAGTCCATATGATAAAATTCAGCATGAAGGAAAGTTATAAAGGAAAAGTGCCAACACCCACTGCAAATAAAAAAAGTCACAAATTTGTAAAGGCTGGCGAGATTAAAAAGTGACGATTGGCACCCTTCGTGCGCCTTGGGAGGAGAAAAAGGCTGAGAATTCTTGTTCTAGATGTTTGCAGATATGTGCTCTGCATCCATTTTTTAAAGAAAGTCTTTGAGTTCTCTAGGATTTATAATGGTTCAATGGAGTTTCATTCTGATCTTTGAAGAAGAAATAAGTTTGAATATTAATGAGGAAACAAGTCTCGTACCGTTGAATTCACACAAACACCTTTGCCGAGAAATCGACACGATTGTCCCCCGAAAACAGGGACGAGACGAGTGAGGTTTACCGTAATCGCGCATTTTCCTTCAGTTCGTTGACAAAAACGCCGAGCGAAATTATGCTTATTTCCCCCGTCCAGATTTATTTGGGCGTAAGGCCGGAGAACGAGATCAAGTCCGTCCACATGTCAGTCACAGCCGGCAAACGACACTGTATCCTTCACATTGACACCTTTCGATCTGGATCCCTCTGAGGGATCTCAAAATGAAGCATTCCACTATGTCCCGTGACGGATTTCTTTGGAGTAAAGTAGGAAATGTCACGAGCATTCTCCATTTCAGGAACTTAAAATGTTTTCTGTCCGAATTGCTAATCTTGCAGGAGTTTCATGAATATTTGATCGCGTGGGAACGACCTTCATCTGATAACTTATCAAATATATTCAAGAAATTCTCCACCCAGAGCACCCCGCAGTAAAACCTGCAGGACAATGTAAAGAATGTTTTGTATCGGCCAAATTCATTCACTTGTATGTTGTAAAATGAATCATGTTTTCTTTTAACCTTTTCACGAGGAGTCCATTATGGAATAGGACTCGTGACCATTTTAAATATCCAGAAATTCACAGATGATCTTTGACTCGTTTGGAACATGACATTAGACATCAGATTGAACCCCCTGAACCCTTACCCGGATCTCCCCATCTCGGTTCTGGCGTTCCGAGGACCGTTTCTCCCCGATGCCTACGCGAATCTCTCCCATTATTATCTGAATATTTCCGTCGGAGCCAGGAAGCGGGGGACGGCACATGAAGACTTCTTGACCGAATATGTAGATTGACTTCCGGTAAGAATAGCCAACAAAAAATCTTAATTCCGTCGGTGATATTGCAAATAGAAACCAATCTGGAGCTGACTTTGACTTGCAGGTGCTTCTCAGTTGGAATGAGTCGAATTTCCAGCTGGGCTCCAGCTGGAAATTATAACTGTTTCCAATCGGGATTTTAAGCTGGGTGTGGGGGGAGGGGGAAGAATTCAATCAGAAACTGTCATAAGTATATATTTTCGTAAGAAATTCACTTTGCGATAATTCAAAAAGATTCTCGCTCAACAATAAGTCCATATGATAAAATTCAGCATGAAGGAAAGTTATCAAGGAAAAGTGCCAACACCCACTGCAAATAAAAAAGTCACAAATTTGTAAAGGCTGGCGAGATTAAAAAGTGACGATTGGCACCCTTCGTGCCCCTTGGGAGGAGAAAAAGGCTGAGAATTCTTGTTCTAGATGTTTGCAGATATGTGCTCTGCATCCATTTTTTTAAAGAAAGTCTTTGAGTTCTCTAGGATTTATAATGGTTCAATGGAGTTTCATTCTGATCTTTGAAGAAGAAATAAGTTTGAATATTAATGAGGAAACAAGTCTCGTACCGTTGAATTCGCACAAACACTTTTGCCGAGAAATCGACACGATTGTCCCCCGAAAACAGGGACGAGACGAGTGAGGTTTACCGTAATCACGCATTTTCCTTCAGTTCGTTGACGAAAACGCCGAGCGAAATGATGCTTATTTCCCCCGTCCAGATTTATTTGGGCGTGAGGCCGGAGAACGAGATCAAGTCCGTCCACATGTCAGTCACAGCCGGCAAACGACACTGTATCCTTCACATTGACACCTTTCGATCTGGATCCCTCTGAGGGATCTCAAAATGAAGCATTCCACCATGTCCCGTGACGGATTTCTTTGGAGTAAAGTAGGAAATGTCACGAGCATTCTCCATTTCAGGAACTTAAAATGTTTTCTGTCCGAATTGCTAATCTTGCAGGAGTTTCATGAATATTTCATCGCGTGGGAACGACCTTCATCTGATAACTTATCAAATATATTCAAGAAATTCTCCATCCAGAGCACCCCGCAGTAAAACCTGCAGGACAATGTAAAGAATGTTTTGCATCGGCCAAATTCATTCACTTGTATGTTGTAAAATGTATCATGTTTTCTTTTAAGCTTTTCACGAGGAGTCCATTATGGAATAGGACTCGTGCCCATTTTAAATATCCAGAAATTCACAGATGATCTTTGACTCGTTTGGAACATGACATTAGACATCAGATTGAACCCCCTGAACCCTTACCCGGATCTCCCATAGAGCCAAGACCGCAAGGCTCCTGGCAAAGAGGGGCTACGGATGCGCTTAGAGAGGGTAATAATAGACTTATAAAGGCAGCCTCGGTCCTTCGCCCCCTGCCGTGTACTTCTGAAGAACTGGCTTAATTACGGGTCCCTGGAGAACGAAACCACCATCTTCGTGAGTCCTAGTCCCCGGCATCGACCGTAAAGCCGGTTCGAACAACGAAATTGTCACTTTTTTCCTACTACCTCTTCAGAAGACAAATGAGCTTTCGATTTCGATTCCGCCTGCATTCGCGATTGGAGTCGCACCCGACATGCAAGTCGTCCACCCCTTCGACCGGTCTCAGCTCCCTTGGTAAAGGCTTTCTCTTCTAGGCTTGGCACTATTTCATTTGACTTTCACAGTGGGTCCTCACGGTTTGATCTTCTCTCCGTGAAAATGGATTGTAAGCGCTGGATGTGAATTTGATCGGAATTGGAACCTTGCAGTGGGAGCGAGTGCGAGATGGTGATCGTGGCAGAGACGAACTTGAACGAATCCTTTCCCATCTCCATCTCGGCGACGGGGTTGTCCGAAAACATCCGCAATGGTGTCATTTACGGTGCAATCATTCTTATCGTCTTGTATATTCTCATCACCTTCGAGGCTAGTCATTTTGGGGGTTTCCTGTCTCAAATTTTATAGTAAATATTGCTTAGTCTAAATTTATTTAGCGCATTTACTTTGCATAAACAGGATTAGTATAAAGTTATTCTCATGTTCAGACTTTCATAACTTGCAAACTATACATTGTAAAGTTTTAATATATGGTGCGATCGCTAATGGGACCATGGGGAAGAGGAATATAGGGTCATGGGACATGCCACCAGCGTTTGCTCAATAACTACATTTGCTACGTTTCCTCATTGGACAATGAATTCCTGGTGGCAATATCCCATGGTCCCACATGTGATGGCGCCATATTTTACACCTTTACAATGCATAGTTTTCATATTATAAACGTCTGAACATGGGAAGAAACTTTATACTAACACTGCATAATACCGTAATTACTTTATTAGCCCATTTATGTCTGTTTGCCAACAGGATTAGTATAAAGTTATTCTCATGTTCAGACTTTCATAACTTGCAAACTATACATTGTAAAGTTTTAATATATGGTGCGATCGCTAATGGGACCATGGGGAAGAGGAATATAGGGTCATGGGATATGCCACCAGCGTTTGCTCAATAACTACATTTGCTACGTTTCCTCAACGTGACCTCCATTCATGTCTACGATTGCTTGCATTCAGGATATGCAGTGATAGACGGCTGACCGAAGTTGTCTAACATCCAACATGGGCACATGATGGCGAATAGCATGTTTGAGGTCCATTAAGGTGGCAGGTGCTGCAAGATACACATCAGATCCTCAGAGTAAAATATATGCTAGGGGTGAGGTTGGCCTACGAAACCTTGCCTTTCTAGGCCATTGGCTAGGCGGAAGGGTTCAGTGTTCAGTGTTCATTTTAATTCTGGTTAAGAAGTCTGGTTAAAAAATTTGAAGGGACTCGTTCCGTCGCCGATGCAACGCGCAGGGGCCACCGTACAACCCCCGTAGAAATTGTAGCCGTGGTGGGACAAGTGGCGGCTAATGTTTCTCGCAGAAATCCTCACGGGGAATGCAGTACCAATCAAGTTGCCAGACAAACAGAACTCCCCCAATCAACAGTGTGGAAAGTGATGCGGAAAATATCGGAACTGCAAGGTAAGGCGTGTCCGGGAGCCTGGTGACACGGAAACACGGCTGGATTTCGCACTCCGGTTTCTGGCGCAAATGCAGCTTGAGGACACCTGCCTCGACAAATTCCTGTGGATGGACGAGGCACATTTCTCGCTGTCTGGGCACGTCAACACACGGAACTGCGTTATATGACGGGAAACCAACCCACATGCTGTTGTCGAATAACCACTGCATTCTGTGAAAATGACTGGTGTGGATTCACAAGAAGATTCATTATTGGGCCACATTTCTTTGAAGAACCTACACACACCGGATTTCAGACAGCGACAGTGACCGGCGAACGTTATCGGTTGACGCTAGAAGGTATTGTCATCCTCGCACTTCAGGAACGTGGTGTTTTTCAATAAACAATTTTTGTGCGAGATAGGGCTCCACCTCACATTGCACGGACTGTAAAAACGCTCATGTATTCGTCCTTTGGTGACCGGATAATCGGCCGACATTTTTCGAACATGTGGCTGTTCCGTTCGTCTGACCTCACCCCAGCAGACTTTTGGCTTTAGGGATATCTCAAGTCTATTGTGTATCATGCTGCACCTGCCACCTTAATGGACTTCAAACATGCTATTCGCCATCATGTGGCCATGATGGATATTGGACAGCTTCGGTCAGCTGTCTATCACTGCATATCTCGAATGCAAGCAATCATTGACATGAATGGAGGTCACATTGAACAAATTAGAAAATGTAGCTATTGAGCATATGCTGGTGGCAATATCCCATGGTCCCACATGTGATCGCGCCATATTTTACACCTTTACAATGCATAGTTTTCATATTATAAACGTCTGAACATGGGAAGAAACTTTATACTAACACTGCATAATACCGTAATTACTTTATTAGCCCATTTATGTCTGTTTGCCTAATAAATTCGAAATAAATCTTAGAATCGTTAAGCAGTCTGAGCAATAATCGGTACCATGCTTTCGCACCAAGCACAACCCAGTCAAAAATTTTCGTTGGTTTATCATAGTGCCATTGCTAGGGGAGTTGGCCCATTTACAGCGAATGATTGGCCAATGAGGCTGAGAAGGCTCCGAAAAACGACATGAGATGGAGCCAAAGTGGTCGTAGTGGGGAGTCAATTTCCGGATACTACTGAGATGAGTCCTCTGTCCCTTTGACACGGTTCACCATGGTTTCTCACATAGATCTCAGGAAGACAATCGAATTCCTTTAAACATTTCTCTGAAGATGTAACCTAACTCTAGAATAACCAGGAAATTCCGGCCCGGAGGTCCATGGAAGGATCCTTCTCCTTTGCACAATCGGCCACGCGACAGCATTTATTTCGCTAAGGTGTGTTTAGCCTTCTGTGGGAGAACAGACACCCTTGCAATCCCATGTAATGACGCTTCTGGATGCCTCAGCATCCGGAAGGGGGGTTGCTTGGGATGTTCTTGGCGGTAGGAGTGTACCTGTGTAAGGTACTCAGGTAAGTTCCTGCTCATTTATCGCTACCGAATGAAGGAGCAATAAGAGGTCAAAAGATGCATTCACATAGCTCCAAAATACATAATGCTGTCGATGCACTTCTTTTACGATTTTTTCCCTATACCTTTTCACCATTGTGAAAAATCGGCCGATGGTTGGGGCATGTGCGGTTTCCCAACAATGAGCCAAAGTTGGCCGAAGGAAGGGCCAACAGGACATGCCCGACTATAAGCCGGCTTAAACCAACTGTGAGCCAACCATATACCAGTGATGGCCCAACTACGGCTTATATGCGCGTCGACAAAAAGTCATCGATGGCCCGACGAAAAATTTTTGACTGGGAATCTGCCAGATACTGTGGAACTTCCCAAAGAGGGAAGGGTGACAATTCTACCACTCTTGAGCTAGGTGAATCCCGTGTTAAGAAAAGCCATATCGGTATATCTCCCTCAGTTGGTGCATCGGACTCTGGCAGCATTACTGGCCTCCACCTTCGCCATCGCTGCTTTGGCTGCCGTCAACGAGGTGAGAATCCATTCCTTTAAAGAATGCGTTGGAATGTAATCGAAATACGAGATGTAAACGTTACGAATGGAATTTGACTTAGATTACTTGAAATGAGTGTTTGATGAGATGCGTTTCCATAGCGACCGACACTTCCGGAAATAGTATCATGGTTGGACATGGAGACCCTGGCTCTCCTCTTCGGCATGATGATCATGGTAGCGATCTTGAGCGAGTCCGGATTGTTCGATTGGATCGCCGTCCTCGCCTACCAGGTTGGGATCCCTCATCCCGGGAGCTAATCTCATTTCTTGCCTCATCACGTATCTATCGCATATCTTTCATCTCGGGGATGTTTCATGCTCTAAGATGTGGTGGGGTGGTCTTTCTTTGTTCTTATGGTTGCAGATTGCCCACGGACGGAGGTGGTACCTTCTCACTTACTTGTTCATCTTCACTGCCATCATATCTGCATTTCTGGACAATGTCACCACGGTCCTTTTACTCACTCCAGTCACTATCAGGTTGAGACGATATTAACTTGCATTAGCAATAGTGTCAGTTGCATGGACTTACATCGTGTAGCAGGTATTCGTTCAATATATGTGGTATAATTTACGAGGAATGCATGTACCCTTCTAACAAGGGATGTAAAAGAAAATGGGGTATTTTAGAAAGTAAGGAGACATCAATAATTTACGATCTATATTCGCTAATGATAGTTTTAAAAAATATGAAGTATGTATTTTTAGGAATACTAGAGGATTTTTTGCCTTCCTTTCTGAGAGCCACCTCGACCCCGTGACGTTTCTGTTTGTGAAGTTCATGAATTCATTCTTTACTTTAGTAAGTAATTCGTTAAATTATACTCTGATGCACAGATTGTGCGAGGTGAGCGACCTGGACCCCGTGCCAGTGTTGATCCTCATGGTACTCTTCTCGAACATCGGAGGATCGGGTACTGCCATTGGAGACCCGCCGAACGTCAGACTCGACCGTGAACAAGAAGGTTAGGAAGTCGTATGGTGTTCTGGGGTGTCTGGAAGGGCACGCTTTCCAGGAATTCGTGTCTCTTGCAGGGAATCGACTTTGCGAATTTCACCCTTCACATGAGCGTGGGGGTCGTGATAGTGTTTGTGGTGGTGTACCTGTTCATCCGGATCTGGTTTCGGAGTCTTTCTTCACTCACTCCTCCTGAGAGCTCCGAAGTTGCAGGTAAACCTGGAAAATAAAATAAGACTGGCAATTTAAAATTAAGATAAGTTCATTAGATAGCCAAACCCAACTTAGCCTTTTCGCGACTGAATGCATTGGCATTTCCTTCCTGCTAGGACATATGATGTTGTCTAAACTGAAACATAATTATATTATGTATATTACAGTGAAGAAATGTGCGAGGGAATGGTACCGCATGTAATCACAGTTTCCTGAATGGACACATTCCGAGAACGGTAATCCTCTGAGACAAAAAATGTGTAGATTTCTGGGCGCCTCCTAAGTGAGGAATTCTTGTTAACACAGATGACCGAATTCCGTAACGAAAACGATAAAAACCTTACCAAAGGTTTCTAGTTTCCACTATATTTTATTTTCCCTTTAGGGAAGGTGAAAGGGGGGGGGAGGGGGGGGGGGGGGGGGGGGGGGGGGGGGGGGGTGGGGGATGAATTAGAACGATCCAGAGCTGGCAGAGTGGAGGCGGTTGAAGGAATACGGATTAGAAAGTGCCTAAAGGGAAATGTTTGTTGTGCATAAGAGTCTCCAAATGATCGAAAGTTCATCATTGAAGGGCCCCGGCCGAAAAGAAAACTCAACTTCTGTCACCTCCAAGCTTTCTTTTTCTTTTCATTTGTCATACCACACTTGTCAGAGGGATGCGGAAAACTGACGATAGCATTCCCAATCCTGCGACATATTGATTTAGTAGAGAATGCTCTTTCGTATGATGAAAGAGAAACTTAGCAGTTAGGCATTGCATGGAGCTCTAGGCATGTAACAATCGAATTATTTTATGACTTTGGGTGGAACTGAATAAGGGAAACAATCTACACTTTTAGATCATCATAAGTCTTTTATCATAAGCTCTGATTACTTCAGGTGTTTCACCAACTTCACAAGAATCTTTTTATGGATATGTATTTCAAGGCGATGGCAGTCACTCTTGTGGCACAGATGCACTTAGCTAGTGCTCACTTAGGTCAATCGTCTAGTGTACAGTGTTTTGCAAATGAATTCGTACCACCTTTAACATTGCGCATAATATGATAACTCAATGCCGAGGAGGTCCAGCTATTGTTTCCATTCCGGAGGATAGATGTCTCCTCCCGCTTCATAGCGCCACATCGCATCAATCGGTCAGTCTCTTGGGAGCTGCCAAGATACAGCAAAGATGACGTCGCGTGGCCCGTATGAAAGGATAGACGAGTCGTTGAGACACAGGATCGTTGCCAACAAAAAAAACAGGTTGGGCAGTCATTAACTCTCATGTCCCAAGGCGTGGGTGTCAAATACTCGACCTACTTCAAGTCTACGTTAGGCTGCGTATCAACATCAACATCCTTGATTTGATTATTTAAATAATTAACAGAATCCCTAATAATCTGTTGGTACGATGGAATAGGGGACCTAAAGCCGGGGTCATTGTTCCATAGCTATCCTTCCTTGTATTCGACTTTCGCATGCTTCCTCCCTTCTACGAATACTTAATAGTTTCTCTAAAAATTTCCTGGTATGATTTGTCATTCCACGTCTTCCTGGACCCTCTTTAAAACCCTTTGTTATTCCAACCCATCATTCTCCTCGCAAAATGCAAAAACAATATCCTTTATACTTTATCCTCAGTCTCAAAGTTTTAAAATTCACTTTGGTTGACTCTACATACGTAGGATGTCCCGGATGCCCAGGCGACGCGACGAAAGCGCCGCCGTCCAGATTGGGAGGATTCTTCCATAGAAAAGCAGGGGCTCCATGGTGGTACGAATTCATTCGCAAAACACTGTATGTACGTCCAGTCAGTACTCGCTAGCGAGAACGCGGCTGACTAGATCAACCGCATGCGAGGACTCGTCAATTGTATCAAGGCATTTAGGTTACTCCTGTTATAACACGTGACCATATCTGGGGGGCTCCCATGATTTAGGGCTTGTGTTTAATGGATGAATATATGAGTGCCATTTTCGTGAATTGATTGAAAACTGGGTTGAGTCAAATTGAGAAGGTCGCATTTACATAATCTGGATATGTCCCACGTGGTAGACTTGCGAGGCGAGGTCGCGGTGTGGGAGAAGGCAGCCCGAGGCTTCTCTACCCTCTCGCGGCAGGAACTGGTCGTCCGCCGGATGCTAATGAGAAAGGTTCAGCACCTCCAGAAACTGCTGGAGCAACGCATCGCCGCCAACAATGGGTCTGTCTGTCCCGCTCTCTCTTCGTCATTTAACCCTTGAGCGCAGCCAGGAGTGGACGGTTCGACCAAGCTGTTCAAATACATGTAACTCAGCAAATTAGAGAAGTTCAACTCCATCATGCGTGTCATCATGGTTGCACAGAAGAGAGAGTTCAATACAGCGATTGCAGCCAGGGAGAAGTTAACTGCACATCGTTGCATTGAATTCCTAATTTCACCCACTCCCGCAGTACCTGTGGGAGTGATTTGCTCTTCTCTATCTGACGGGAAAGCTCGGAGGCCCGGACAGGTGGTATCAGATCTCGTGCCGTACGAATGCTTGAAGAAAATTCGAGCTGATTTCTTCTGAGAGGTTTCCTCTACAAAGCAGCTTATTTTATGCAATAGATATTGATTGCTGCTGTTCGCTAAGCAGCATGTGGCCCAATGCTGCTCAGATGGCTAGGAATAAATGTGATTAAATCTTGTCATGCATATAGTTTCTGTTTTACAGGATTTCCTAAAGTGTGAGTATACTGACCGTGACATTGGAACGTTTCGATTTTCATGCACAACATTCATATATGTGGAGATAAAATTTTTATATTACAGGGAAGCGCTAGATGATCGCTTTAGAGAGACCCTCGAGGAGCTGAAAACAAAAGTACGTCTTCTCCTCTTCTCTGCTTAGTACGCCTAATAGCTGATGTTCACTTTGAATTTTATATCCTAGTCATTTTGAATGCTGCTGGGGGGGATGTAAGGTCAAGTTCCTTATGACTCCATTCTGATTCAACCTCTTGAATTCTGTGGGGCAAATTTGCTATCTGACTTGCCCTTTAATTTTCAAGCAGTCCACCGAGATTGATCACGAAGCCGCTGGGGATGTCACAATTTGTAATTTTTTTTTCTTTGACAGTACGTGATCCGAGACAAGGTTCTGTTGATCAAGTCCATGGTCGTCCTCGTGATCGTCCTCATCCTCTTCTGTCTCCAACCGGTTAGCCAATCACCCATATTACTTTCTCGGGCTTTTCCTTCAACGACTGCAATGGCACTTCAGTCGTTCAACAAGGAAATCTATTGGATGCAAAACCGTCTTTAGGCATGACTCCATTCAGAAACAAGGAAAGCACGAACCGGACGAACTTACTCTTCAAGTCTTTCACTTTACGAACTTACACTTAAACTCAACGAACTCCTAAAAAACATTATTGGAACCATATCCGGATCAACAGTGAAACTTTTATAGAATCATTTTCATTGAACCAAGCAAACACGAACTGATACTGATTCCCGGAACAACCAGGATCTCAGGGCTTTGACAATCAACGCTATCATCTGGGACATTCACACGATCACTCCGACGAGTGACATAAACAAATGCAATAGAAAATGTTTCTACGTTGCACAAGATATTGACTTGTGCCTAACTCCTTCGTAGTTCAAGAGCTACCAAGTGGTCTTCATGTGTAGAATATAATATGTTTTTGGAAGAGGCTCAAAACCAATTTTTTGTTGTTGCTCGAGTACTGGAGACCGCCTTGAAAGCGTACAACGATCTTGAGGTTTCACTCCGAACCATAACTTTCTTAGGGCAGGAAGGGGCGAGGGACATGTGGTAATACGAATCGGAAACGGAAATTTTCAGAAAAATCGAGTGAAGGTCGATCGCGCGAATTCCGGGTGGTAAATGAAACTAACAGTAAAACTAGAGAGTACCAGCCCAGGAACAGATCTGCTATTCTACTGGGCCATTCCACTGGCCTTTGTACCATTGGAATTTTCATCTTCACCGCATCCTAGCCATTCAGATTTGAACTAAATAAAAAGAGTTGCCATTGGTACGGCATTGGCCTATATGAAAAGACTCGGACAACTGGACATGTTCCCGATGGTTCATGCGTCCGCGTCGCTTGGAGACGGGAGGAGAGTAAGAAGTAACAGGATGTCAGATGCGGCATTTCACGCGTACGCCTAGCAACCCTGTCTACGCGGCCGGGAGCAGCCGCTCTCCCCCATTGTCTCCTATGGATCCGTCAACCGCGAGGGCTAGAAGGGAAGTGAATGTTTTAGTGGAAGACGGGTACCCGAAATCAAAGACCTTATACTGGGCTCATTCAGATGTGACCCGAGTCTCAGTTCGAGGGTCTCAGTTCAACGCTTGAATCGAGGTTTCAAAATAAATTTTTACTCCATAGTGACACCTCTTGTCAATGTCATCAATCCTGGGTATAATAGTTTTTGAAAAGTGCCGCACCTACCGAGAATCATGAACCTCGAGTCATGACCCGGTTCACAACCGAATGCGACCACTAAGAAGACTGGGCGCTCTGCGGCGATGCCTTTGTTGTCCCTGTAACTACGCAGGATCGATCAATGAGATTATTGGATTGGAATGGTGCGTGAAAAATGGTGGCTTATGGATCACAGTACTGCTCCTGCCACCATGCCAAGAGGAATGCAGTCGAATGGATGGAGATGTTCTTTCGCATCGGTTTTCCATGGATCCGGAAAAGCCCCATGTGTTCACTGGGGCTTTGCACTAGGCCTATGGCCGCGACTTTACGATTATTTAACAGGTGGATGAAATAAAATGCCGAGTAACCCTAATGACCCGAAATAAAAAGGTCAAATGTATGCGTCTCAGATTAAGTCTTGGGCATAGATTGCTCCGTTTTCTTTTGTTTTGTTTTTTTTTTCTTTTTCAAAAGGCATCATACCACTTCTAGACTGAGCTAACCACGGAAGGGGCTCACCAATGCATTCCAAGCATTCTCAACAAGAAAACTACATACAACTAGAGCAGACCTAAATTTGATTCAGCATAGGCTTATCAAATTCTCAAATTTGGAGGAATGCTTCAGTGGTTTTTGCTCGAGCCTGACGATTCTCATTCAACTTGGACACTCATGCCTGGGATGTTCCCCACGCAATAGTGCCCTGAGTCAGTTGAAAAACACGAAAATATCCTTTAGGGACCTGACTCCAGACCACATCCACGCTTCCGAGAGCCTATCCGAGAGAGTTTATTTATTCTATGACTAACACAATTTTTTTTAGTGACTTCGTACCACCTTTAATTTGGGCTCCAAAGGTCTATTTCAATCGCAGGAAATATACCCTCGCCTCCCTGATTGTCCACGTTTCATGGAGGAGAGCGCTAGGGTATCTGAAATGAAATCGCACCTAAGTTTGAAGCTGTTTCTATGACGCATTCAGGGAGGTGAGGGTATATTTTCCGATTGAAATATACCTTTGGAGCTCAAGTTAGAGGTGGTATGAAGTCTTTTGGAAAAAATTGTATTAGTCATCGGAAAAAACTCAATTTTATTGGCTCTTGGGAGCGTTGATGTGGTCTGGAGTTAGTTGAAAGGACACTTGTAATTCAAGGGATATTCCTAATTCGCGTCACTTTCAGTACTCCAATTTTTCTCCTCTCCAAACTTTACTTTGTCCTTCGCAAACTTATTTTTAAAAAAGTAATCGTTTTATTATTCATAGAGGTTGCAATAGCGAACTACATGAGGGGAGATGGAGATGTCACGTTAAAAGGATACGATAGATTTAATGAAAGGTTAAAATTCAAAATTGAAATGTTCAACCTGTTGCGACCTCATTGATGCTCAATCGTCCCCAAGGTTTCTATTTTCTACAATGTGAAAATCTAAGAGTCTGTTTTCGGTCCTAATCTTTCGGTTTTAGCGTTTCGATTCAATCCTTGCCCTCATAATAATGAAGCTGGCTGGAATAAGACAATGCTGATCAGATTTTAAAGCCATAAACAGAACAAAATTAGAAAAAATCCACTAAAACTAAAAGCAAACATGATCAACCATTTCATTATTTGAAAG